TTCGCGACGACCGAAGACGACGAAGACGACGACGACAAAGTGCGAGCAGTTGTAATGAGTTTCCTCGAAGTCCCTCTATTTCCAAGATTACATCAGAAAAGAGATACAGTTGAATTCGTACGCGTCAGCTTTTTCTTCGTTTCCTCTTACTTCGCTGTCTACCGTCAGATGTAAATAAGGAAACGTTGCTATGCAACGGAACTAATTACATGTTATGATAGCTGGACGTGAATAATGCATAATACGGATGAAGAACGTGGCAGTGAATCCTATTGCAAAATTATCGCTTCGGTGGTCCTTTCGTTTCATGGAAATAGTTCGATGCAAGCTGCTTAGCCACGCGTCTCAGCGCCGAATTAGACGCGCGTCGAATTTCTACGCGCTAAATCTCGACGTGTTCAATTTTCACGTGGCGAATCTAAGTGCGCCAACTTTACACGTGCCAAAATTTCACGAGAACTTCTACGTAGAATATTTACATGCTGAATTTCTGCGCGGTCTTACGCACCGAATGTATAGGCGACGAATTTCTATGCGCAGAATTTCTATGGGTCGAATGTCCACGCAAGGAATTTCTGCGCTTCGAATTTCTACGCTCCGAATTTCTATGCGCAGAATTTCCACTTGTCGAATCCCTACGCGCCGATTTTCTACGCGTAGAATTTCCACGCGCTCTATATCTCCACGCGTGGTATTTTCACGCGCTCTGTACCTCCACGCGTGGTATTTGCACGCGCTCTACATCTCTACGCGTCGAATTTCCACGCACCGAATTTCCACGCACCGAATTCCCACGCGCTCCATATCTCCACGCGTGGTATTTCCACGCGCTCTATATCTCCACGCGTGGTATTTTCACGCGGTCTATATCTCTACGCGTGGTATTCCACGCGCTCTGTATCTCCACGCGTGGTATTTGCACGCACCCACGCGCTCTATATCTCTACGCGTGGTATTCCACGCGCTCTGTATCTCCACGCGTGGTATTTGCACGCACTCTACATCTCTACGCGTCGAATTTCCACGCGTCGAATTTCCACGCGCTCTATATCTGCACGCGTGGTATTTTCACGCGCTCTACATTTCTACGCGTCGAATTGCCACGCGTAGAATTTCCACGCGTCGAATTTCCACGCGCCGATTTCCTACGCGTAGAATTCCGACGCGCCGAATTTCTACGCGTGGAGTCCCTACGCGTCGAATTTCTACGCGCCGAATTTCCATGCGTTGAATATCTAAGCGTCGAATCCCCACGTACCGAATTTCCAAGCGCCGAATTGCACCGGTATCTCCACGCTCCATATCTGCGCGAAGGTAGCCACCCGTTAGATGTCGAAGAGCATAGAGTGCTGTTCAGGGGCCAATTAATGTAGTTACAGGGAGCAGAGTTCGAGAACATTGGATGTTTTTATTACGATTACGACAGGAAGGTAACGAGGTAACTGCATCAATCTTATTCGCAGTTATCCGTAACAATAATCCACTTATGCCCGGAAGGAAGGAAGGAAGGAAGGAAGAAAGCCAGCAGGAAGTTTCTCTTTGCTTTTCTTGAGAGCCACGCAAATATTTCCATCGATATTAACGGATGCAATTACGCACGTGTCTCGTATTTTGCGTAACAATAATTTACTATGTTTGATGAATTTAGTGAACGTTGTCATTGAGAATTGATCAGTTGTGATAACGTTACGCTAATCTTACAACCACTGATAACCTGAATGAATGCATAAATAGTGTTATCAGTTGTTACATCTTTTAGTGGCATTAAAATGAAATTACCGTGGATGAAATTTCAGCCATGATAGTCTTTGAGGTTTAAAAGGAGATTTGCACAGGGTGAAATTTCATCGTGCTTTTAAGGGTTAAATGGAAGTTTAATGAGCTTTGATTCGTTAATATCGTTATGTATTGTGCGGAATAATGCAGGGAGGAAGGAATTAGAAGACACCCGTTAGAAACCCTCGACTCTTCCGGAGTTCGCACAAAAGAGCACCAGGCGAAAGCGAAATCAGCAATAACGTAACTTTTAATGTATGCTGGAGAATATGTAGATTTTAAGGATGCGTAATTAGAATTCTTTTCCGCGCGTAGAAAGCGACGTGCAGATTTGACAATTGTGCTAAAGTCGTTGTATTGATTCGGATCTTGATTCGATAATGAAAGTACGATAGTTGGAGACGAGCCAACTAAGAAAGCAACGAAAACAACATTTTTCAAAGCTATCAAGAATGAAACTGTATATATGGTGTTCGAGAACGATTAGCCTGAACTCTAGCACTACAAAGAAATATATAAACTAAATAATTCATGGTTCGGCGCAAGGATTCGGCGCGTGGAAATTCTACGCGTGGAAATTCGGCGCGTAAGGGTTCAAAGCGTAGAAATTCGGCGCGTAAGGGTTCAAAGCGTAGAAATTCGGCGCGTAAGGGTTCAAAGCGTAGAAATTCGGCGCGTAAGGGTTCAAAGCGTAGAAATTCGGCGCGTAAGGGTTCAAAGCGTAGAAATTCGGCGCGTAAGGGTTCAAAGCGTAGAAATTCGGCGCGTAAGGGTTCAAAGCGTAGAAATTCGGCGCGTAAGGGTTCAAAGCGTAGAAATTCGGCGCGTAAGGGTTCAAAGCGTAGAAATTCGGCGCGTAAGGGTTCAAAGCGTAGAAATTCGGCGCGTAAGGGTTCAAAGCGTAGAAATTCGGCGCGTAAGGGTTCAAAGCGTAGAAATTCGGCGCGTAAGGGTTCAAAGCGTAGAAATTCGGCGCGTAAGGGTTCAAAGCGTAGAAATTCGGCGCGTAAGGGTTCAAAGCGTAGAAATTCGGCGCGTAAGGGTTCAAAGCGTAGAAATTCGGCGCGTAAGGGTTCAAAGCGTAGAAATTCGGCGCGTAAGGGTTCAAAGCGTAGAAATTCGGCGCGTAAGGGTTCAAAGCGTAGAAATTCGGCGCGTAAGGGTTCAAAGCGTAGAAATTCGGCGCGTAAGGGTTCAAAGCGTAGAAATTCGGCGCGTAAGGGTTCAAAGCGTAGAAATTCGGCGCGTAAGGGTTCAAAGCGTAGAAATTCGGCGCGTAAGGGTTCAAAGCGTAGAAATTCGGCGCGTAAGGGTTCAAAGCGTAGAAATTCGGCGCGTAAGGGTTCAAAGCGTAGAAATTCGGCGCGTAAGGGTTCAAAGCGTAGAAATTCGGCGCGTAAGGGTTCAAAGCGTAGAAATTCGGCGCGTAAGGGTTCAAAGCGTAGAAATTCGGCGCGTAAGGGTTCAAAGCGTAGAAATTCGGCGCGTAAGGGTTCAAAGCGTAGAAATTCGGCGCGTAAGGGTTCAAAGCGTAGAAATTCGGCGCGTAAGGGTTCAAAGCGTAGAAATTCGGCGCGTAAGGGTTCAAAGCGTAGAAATTCGGCGCGTAAGGGTTCAAAGCGTAGAAATTCGGCGCGTAAGGGTTCAAAGCGTAGAAATTCGGCGCGTAAGGGTTCAAAGCGTAGAAATTCAGTGCGTGGAAATTCTACGCGTTGGAAATCCGCGCGTGGAAATTCTACGCGTGAAAATTCAACGCATGGAAATTTGGCGCGTGGAAATACCACGCGTGGAGATATAGAGCGCGCGGAAATACCACGCGTGGAGATATAGAGCGCGTGTAAATACCACGCGTGGAAATTTAGCGCATGGAAATTCTACGCGTAGAAAATCGTCTTGTAGGTATTCGATACGTGGAAATTCGAAGCATAGAAATTCGGAGCGTAGAAATTCATAGTTCATGCTTGTAATTCATGGCTCCATTTTCATTAATTAATTTCTGTACGTATACCAATTTCACATATCCCCAATTGCAACATATCGGATTTCCGAATTTTCCTTTTATTTTTCGCAAATAACCACATTCGGTAAACATTATTTTATTTTCGCGTACGTTCGATTGCCGAAAAAATAGATAAAAATAATGGCTTGCAGCGATCATTAATCAACTTTTGTTCACCATCACGGTGTAATACAAGCTTTGTCCAAGCACCCTGTATAATCGATGAAAAGAACCCTTCGTAAATTCGTCGCTTGAGTCATGCCATGTAGCCAGAAAAATGTCAGGGTGCATCCAAATGGTACGTACAACCAGTTTAGTGATATACATTTAATATAACGTTTCGCTTTATTCCAATCACACTCGGACTTCGAGACTTTCGAAAAATATATATTATAAGCAGCTTTCACAAAACTCTAAGGTCTTGAAGGTCCAAATTTAAAAAATTCTTAAATTTCATAGCTTTGAAGGTACAAAATTCTAATATAACAACGGTGCAAAATTGAACCAAAGTCCTAAAGTCTTCAAATCCAAAATTATAGGATTATGAAGTTCTATAGCTCCAAAACTTTAGAGCCTAGCCTCAAAGTTCTATAAGCCCAAAATGATAACTGTTCAAGGTGTAAAAAACTGTTTCAATGTGTCAATATTCGAAGATTTCACAGACTCAAAGATGCAAACTCTCAAAGTCCTCAAACCCCAAAATTCAAATATTCCAAAGATCCATCATTTCAAAAGCCCAGACCCCATTGTCCTACATATTTTCCCAAAACTCCAAAGTTTTAAAAAGGCCTGAAGTGTCAAGTCGAAAAGTAAGATGCTATTTTGAAGTTTGTATTTGGAAAGAGTGCATATAGGGGGTTAAAGAGGAAGTAGAAAGCGTTTGAACGCGTCGGTGTGGAGCGTTAGCTGCGAAGCATGGTTTAGGTCGTCAGAAATGAACGGGACACCCGTTAGACTCGGTAGCGAGGGGAGGCGGGCCAGGTGGTCCGTCGGTGCGAATATCCATTATAGATTCGGCGGAGTGTAGCTGTCGTACGATCCGACTCATTTTCCGTGTATTCGTGCGGCGTATATTTCTGGCATCGATGAGAGAAGCAACCGGGTACGGGCTCGGGTACCGTTTGCTAGTGTTAGTAACGATTCGTCGCGCGTTTGTGTTGGTTCGGAGGGACTCGGCTTAGTTCGCGAGGGCGCCTGTGTCGGCGCTCGCGGCGCCACCGGTTCATTCCGCCATCGGCGCCCGCGACGTACGGACGTGAAAAGACGCGAGCACGGCATATCGTTTGGGCGGACAACGTGAAGTTTTTACGAGCAAAACGTTTATTTATATTCGGACACGCGCGCACGTTGAAACGTATCGGTGAACAGGAGAAAACACCGTCAAGAGGGAAACAGATATATCGGCTTGGTAAAAAATCGTACAAGTGATTCGAAGCGTGATTCACGGGTAACTTGTGTGAAATTAGTGCGACGAAGAGTCTTCGAGTGAGAGTAGTAGAAAATCCAGAGAGGGGGGCCATCGATTGTCCTTTGTGTGATCGTCGTTTAACGGCTTCTCGTTTCTTCGGGACGCCAGCAGACCCCGGCAGGGACACGAACGAACCAGTCCGAATAGAAATTCGTGGCTTTCTTCGTTCGAGGCCCAAATTGCCAGTTCTACGTCGTGTTTTACCTGCGCGTCCCTCTCGCACACACACAACGAAGGTATCCCCGTTGAAGGTCTCGTCCCGTGAGTTCGGAGACGTGGAATGATATTACGATTTCGTCGAATCGAAGGTGCAGCCAGGCTGGTTAGGCGCGACGTGACACGCGAACGGAGTACTTGACAACGTTAGGTAAGGGAACGACCACTCACGGATCGACCAGACCAATCGAATAAAAGCGGCTTTTCTCTTTTATCGCGAAGAGGGAAAATTGTATATTTGGTCAGTGAAACGAGAGTTTTTCGGTTGGCAAGTGCGGGGGAAAACAACGAATATCGGGCAATCCTTGAAATTTCAGCTTGTGACACGGTTGTGCTTCGGTGAATAAAGAAATCGATAGATCGTAAATCGATAGGTGAGACGCGAACGGTCGTTGTTGGTGCTCGTTCTTTATTCGATATATATGTATATTGTGTTCATCTGATTCCATTGTACGATTGGAAAGTGCAAGAAGATCCAACTTTACAGATTCGACACACGAGGAGCAACGATATTCTTCAGGTAAGATATTTTTCGATTTTCAATTACTTCTGATAGGTTATCCTCTAGATAATTTTTATCGATTCTCTCTAACGATCTACCGATTATTTTTAACGGAAATCGTACACTATTAACGTTTGTGACAAAAAATTTGAGAATATAAAAAACGGAAGTAACTTTGGAGAAAAATTTAAACCTAAAAAATGAATTGTAGTAAAAAATAATGAACGCGAGTGATTAAAGATAACTGTCTTAGAGAATTATTTATAGGATAATCTACATATCGTTCTTTTCCTGCAATAATGACATAATTTACGATTTTTTAATTACTGATATAGAAACGGTTCTTGCTTGTATTTTTTTATGCCATGTACCTAAAAGTGAGCACGTGAAGGCAGTTGTTTTTGTATCGTGTTTATACGAAGTTAAAACGGTCAGCGTTTAAACTCGTTTTCTCTAAAATCGTGATTTTTGAATTATTACATTATTGCAACAAGCGAGCGATATATGCTTTGGTGTTAAATCATGCGACGAAACGATACTGTTTGTTTGCCAGAAGAGTGATATGTTTTAAAAATCGTCAATTTTGAGGCATCCGAAAAAATGACCTCTAAAAACCTGCTATTTTTATATAGAATGGAAGTATCATAAATGCTCAATGAAATTATAGTATTTAACAAGATCAATGTCACAAATCAAAATAGTTGTTTTAACCTGTTCGCGGAAAAAAGAATTCCTTCCTGAGCATGCAATGAAATAATACATAAACATGAGATACATTTTGATCGCACAAATACATAAATGTATTTTGTTCCTAATAAAAATATATATTCTGATCAAGTGACGATTAATAACATTATCGTATAAAATGAGTAACATTCGTATTAAATATTTTATTAGAGGTTCTCATAACAATTCGTTTAATCGCAGAAAATAAATTCATCATAACTTTTTTCTACAAAAACTCTTAAACGTAAAAAAGTCTTTCATTAAAAATAACTGTGTCACTCTTCTCCCAAATGGACGTGTTTTTCCGAATATCCAATTCCATTGTCCGATTCGTCGATTCGAGTTCGAAACCTCTAAAAGATTAGCATCGATGACGCGCTTGTGTTCGTTGCGATTAACGATTGCCACTCTTCTCGATACGACATTCAAAAATTCCTTCTTTAAAAAAAAAAAGCTACTCGTGTATCCTGATCGTCCTTTCTGTGTGAGATTTCGCGGAATCGAAAGAGACAAAGAACTGTGTAGGTTGGAATGCAAATCGAAATTATGGTCCAATCATGCATTCAGTGAACCTTTGTTATATTGCAATTTTTAGGTTACCGCTTGTTAAATAGCGACACTTTGTATTATCACGTGTTAAATTACAATTTATAAGGTTTCTACGCGCTGTATTACCACGCGTTATATCACCACGCGTCGAATTCCTTTGCGTTGAGTTTCCACGCGTTATATCGCCACGCGTCGAATTCCTTTGCGTTGAGTTTCCACGCGTTATATCGCTACGCATGGAATTCCTATGCGTTGAGTTCCCACGCATTATATCGCCACACGTGGAATTCCAACGCGTTATATCGCCACGCGTGGAATTCCTATGCGTTGAGTTTCCACGCGTTTTATCGCCACGCGTCAAATTCTCATGCGTTGAGTTCCCACGCATTATATCGCCACGCGTGGAATTCCTATGCGTTGAATTCCAACGCGTTATATTGCCACGCGTGGAATTCCTATGCGTTGAGTATCCACGCGTTATATCGCCACGTGCAGTGTCATCACACGTTATATCGCCATGTGTAGTGTCATCACATGCTATATCACCACATATTGTAGTATCACACGTTGTATCACAACGCATTAAATCCCGATACATAAAATTTCTACGCGTTATATCGCCATATTTGATATCACCACGAGTCCAATTGCAACCCACGATAATTCCACGCGTTTCATAGCGAAAAAATTCTAAGAATCTTTCGCGTCTACAGCCCTTAGCCACGATAATATGACGTTTATCGTATTTTTGAGGATAGCTATCATCTCCCGCCGTTTTATTTCACTTTCGGTATATATATTTCACTATATGAAAAGAAGTATTTTTCCTTGTTTGCGAAATAAATAAATAAGAGGTGGATATTCGGTCCGTGGATCGTCGAAATCGAGCTGTACGTTTAAAGCGCAACGGTGACGCAATTTTCGTGCAGGTGCAATTACCACGAGCAATCACGGGTTAACGTCAGCAAAATCGAGAGCCGTCGTCGTAACGGGTCTTCGTTGGTTTCGCGAGCGCGAACGCCGTTTTACCGTTAACGACCTAAATCGACGCGAAGAAACGAGATATATACGCGCTGTTTCGCGACTTCTCGGAGAGAGAGCACTTCTTTTCTTCTCCGTCGAGTGCCGCTCCACTGGGTATCGACTGGACTTCGTTGCCTGGCTAAATTCTCTTCTCTTTACCGGTTTTTTGATGCCGATTCGATAGAGATCGATACGTTTGTTGTTAGACAACTTTCCTACTTTCATGCGGACGCGGTAGCGACATTGCAGTCCGAACGCTAACTCCATGAAATATCAGGTGTATCGATGAATAATTCTGCTTTTTATTCGTTAAAAATAAATTGGTTGAATATTCTTAAACACTGAAATAAATACTCATCTTTATTGACCAAAAAAAAAACGTGGTTTCATATCGATAGTCATTTGTAGTTATATTAAAGATATTGCAAGAATAGTAAAATAAAAATAAAATTATTCGATCTAATTAAAAAGGCAATGAATTATCAGTGGCACTCGAAAAGCGACGACGAAACGGCCGATCGGATTTTGAAGAGGAATTGGCAGGTGTTCGCGAAACGTTCTAAATTTGTAACCAAATTTACTGTCACGAGATCGTTCGAGGAATCGTATGTACATCGAATCGTACGTGTCTTTATCGATGATAGGTAACCGCTGTAGATAGCAAAGGGAAGGGGGAAGGGAGGATCGGTCAAACGATAACGCAACGGAAGCACGTACAAACGAGATATGTATAGTCTCTCATTCGGCCATGCTTAGCGGTGTTCTGGTTTTCTAGCGAAATTACGGCCTCCAGCGCCGTAATCTCGACTCTCGGTGCACCTTACGTCGATGACAAATAGATCGATAACGTTCGAGAAACAGTTATCCCGTCGTTGGCCGGCCGTCGATCGGGTTTTCACGCAGACGCTTTTATTTCCGCGTTTCTTCTCACCGGTCTTTGTATCTTTTCGAGCGTAACTTTGTGGTGAATCTTGGCTACTTTTCTTTGTTCTCTGCGATCGGATACCAATCTCTATCGTAAAATCTCTGCTGAACAAAGCGAAACTTTTCGTCCACCTTTTGCGCCCAGTTTCTTTTTTAACCTATGCAATTTATTAGCGGAATCTGGGTGCTAGTTTTGTTAGGTTTCTGTGGCAGAAGTGGGTTGCTGAATTGAAAGTTTGATTCTGTCATAATTATAGATATTCAGGACTTAATTGATACATATGTTATGGACAGACTTTATTTCTTTGATTACCATTTTACAACCTTGCAAAATTCACTGCTTTGATCACTTCTTCATTGTGATTATATCATGCTCTGCAAATAGCCACACAATCTATACAGATAAAAACAAAAGATGTAAAAATTTGTTAACGAGTCAACAGAAATGTTCAATATAGTTCCAAAACAATTTGCAACCAGTGGTCAAAATGATCCCTGTGTGTCACAGCTAATAGATTAGTGTTGCTCTGATGTAAGTAAAAATTCCAAGAAAAAAGATTGATCTAATATTAAATTTTATTTACCATCGCGTTAGATTTCCACATATGAAATCGCCACACGTTCGGTTTCCACGCATTAAATCGCCGTGTGTTAGATTTCCACATATTAGATCATCGCATGTTTGATTTCCATGCGTTTGATCGCTGCGCGTTAGATTTCCACATATTAGATCGTCACGCGTGATATTTTCCACATATTAGATCGTCGCGATATTTTCCGCATGTTCGTTACATTTCCACGCATTCAATTACAATAACTCGGAAATTGAATATTTGGAAATTTGAGAATTCGGGGATTTGTAAATTCAAGAATTGGAAACTTTATATTTGAGGGTTTGTTACATCGCGTTAAATACCTCGCTCGTTAAATTGCTACACGTATCTCCGCGTGTTGTATAACCAAGCGTTACATCGTTTGCAGATCGAAAAACGTACTCCAAATATAATTGCAACAAAAATACTTCGCAGTGTCAATTTGTACACTAACGGCCCACACGGTATAATTTATTAACCCTTTGCGCTCGAGAGGTGACAGCCACCATTTTATTTAATGTAATTATTTGAAATAATCATTTTTTAACTGATTCTATAATATGACATGTGATGTTTAAACATAGTGAGAAATAATAACCTTAAGAGAATTCATTTAACTTTTTAACTAAGTTTTAAAGTTGCTGTTTGCAAACAGTCAGCAAAGGATTAAAATCCTAACTTACCCACTTCGTTCCTTCGAATCGATTATTTGGATATCGTTGGTTAGCCTACTTACAATCATAAAATTTTCGCGTTGCACGTCTAAACGATAAACGAAGATGATAAGCAGACAAAGAGGGCGTATTTTCCGTGCAAGGATCGATAGTCTTATGAAATCGAAACGTGACTAATCACGGAAGAGACTACGGCGTTGCCGTGCCTCGTTGATAGACGCGAGCGTATCCGTACATATGTAAGTTCAGTCGGTCCGCATACGTGTACCGTTTAAACGGCTCGCTGTTGATAATTGGTTGCACGACAATTGCACAGAAACGAGGAAACATTAGATTCAGCGAATGTAAACGACGCGTTAACCCTTCAGCGCTGATGAATCTCGTGACTAACCGGCGTAATCCGTGGAGCGCAATTAGCATACATGAATAAAGAATCTATGAATCCTTTAAGTCGGTTACCGAACGGCTCGTGAATGAATAAATGTTTGTCACTTGGCTGCACGGGCTAATCCTAACTTTACTTTGGAATCGATTCGATTCATGAAATATTGCCAACCCTTTATGCACCCTCTTTTGCTATGATGAATGACTTCGGTTTTATATGATACTCCAACACTTATTTCGTTCTCATTTATTGAAAATTTCTATATTTACTGAGAATTATATATTTATTGAAATAGTGACAATGTTTGATGCTTCGATTTCTGAATCACTGATCTGGTATACGTGTACCGATAATGTGCAATATGTTTAACTATACATACTTTGTAAACTATATCTAATAATTTATTCGAAGGCTCATTAATTAAACGTTCTGATATTTCATTCAAAATTTATTCAATTGACTGGATTATTCAAAGCTCTGAAGATATACATTATCGATAACATATCACAAAAATACATGTTTTAAATGTTGAAATACCAGAAATATTAATTGAGTTCCTCATTAGAATCCCCAGAGTTAAAACACGAAAAATGACCACCGAAATGCTGGACAATTTCACACCCATTTTCCCCTCATTCGGAATTGCTCCCTTAAATAATATTTTTGCGTACAAAATTCTGGCGATGCAAATAATCTTTGTTTCGTAAAAGCGATTACCGCGTGCAAGATAATCGATATTTATAGAGAGCACGAAATTGATAATACATTTTCGGGAATTTCGGAAGAAGGTTACGCGCTCGAGGGTTTTAATCGCAGTTACGGAATAAACTTTTCATACGCGTTCCGAAAGCTTTTACCATTTTCGATAAATAGCACTGGCGACCTTGTTTCATCGTTTGGCCCAGTAGTCTACGCGAAACGCGATTTGCAACCGTGTTTTCCAACCACGCGCAGTTTCCTCGAATAACACGTCTCGAGGAAGATTGTTGGCTCGCGATGTTCTCCTAAAATCGATTCGTCTATGACGTACAAGTTGGACCGTTCGGTCCAGCGACTGCGGCAAACTTTTGGAAATTTGCACCGGGTCTAAGAACGCAAACATACAATTCTTGCAAGGACCACGATATTCTAGTTTAAGAGAAAGACAAATTAAGAGGAAGTCATTTGATTAGTTTGACTATGGCTCAGAAATATGATATGATGTATTTCTCAATCGGCTTTTAACTGCATCATCTTTATTTTGAGTATTTAGAAGAATAGCCTTTTGAACAAAGTACGAAGATAGTACTTATCTCATACGGTTCTTTACTTCAGAAAAGTTAGAAAAATTAGTGGACGATGATTCATCCGATAACATAGAGAACGATTGCTAGATACCCTTATTTAAGATAGATTTACATAAGGTATACTTACGTCGTAGGTTTCTGAATAATATACAATATACACCATTTGAAGAGGGTATACTAGCTAGTATACGGTGGTTAGAAAAACGTGTTAGGCGATTTGCAGTCGCGAGTAAGACGGAGGATCGTAGAGTCTCGAACGCTATAATACCCTTCGTTTCTAACGCGGAACGATTAAGTAACGAGGCGAGCTTGTACGAGTCTCTCGTTCTCCCCGTGCACGAGAATAAATTCACCCTGCACGCCCCGCGTGAGGATCGATACGCACGATTATTTCGGGAACTCGCCCCGTTCGTTCGTCGACGTGCGAGCGAGTTAGCCGGGCGCGACAAAGAACGAGAACCGTGACAGGGACGGACGACATCCGACGAAGAGAGAGAAAGACCGCGAAACGGAGAAAGAAACGGCACGAAAGAGGACACAGAACAAGCAGAAGATAGAAAGAAAGGGGAGGCGCCGCGCGTTCGAGAAAAAGAGGGGTAAAAAGGAGTCGGAACGAGCCCGTGGAGAGAGAGAGACGGCGAACAGGGACCCTTTTTGCCGCCCCTGGAACGAAGGCTGTGTGCAGAAGAGGCTCGGGGAAAGGTCGAGCTAGCACGTAACGTCTCGTCGTCGTCGTATTGCGCGCGAACGTTGAACGTTTTTCAACGACGACTAGGACGATCGATTTCCATCGAAAACGTGGACAACCACGGCACACAGCAACGCTGGGTCGGGCTCTCTGTTCGCGAAACGAGTTCATTCGACAGAGAGTCCCACGATACCACGAGGCCGCGTTGCGTGACCGAACACGAACGAAGCCCCGTCAGTAATAAGCGGCTGAGAATCGTTCCAGCCGTATATACGCCACTCTTTTTCCCTTAACGTACACTCGCCTGAAATGTAGGCCTCCTTTCGAACAGGACTTACACCCGGATACATCCCATTTCTCTTACTTCTACAAATTTATTATCTTCAAATCTCCACAGTCTTTCGTCCTCAAATTTTCACATTCTTTCATCTTCAAATACATTCAAAATACATTCTGTATCTTTCAAAGCCAATTTCAACATTCTGAATTTTCATATCACAAAACTTTAAATCAAAGTTCCGAATCCCTAAATCTCCTAATTTACAAATCTTCAACTTTGAATGCTGTAAATGTCCAAATGCTTACGCCCCAAATTTCAATATGTCCATATGTCCAAGAACTTGCCCTCAAATGCTAAATTTCTAACTGCCCAGAGCTCCAAATTTCTAAATCTCAATTTTTTCCAAATATCCAAACTTGCAAATTATAAACCTGAGAATTCAACAAAAATGGTCCCTTTCTCTCATACCAGAATTTTCTACATAGCAGTCTGCCATGCTCGGCGGTGTACAGCGAAATACGTTCGACGTAACCTCGATCAATTTACGGGGCGTCGTAGGCAGATAGAAAATTATGCTCGATACCTGCGCCGTTTAAACGACAACGAGACACGGTACGACTCCCTTCCATAGCCAATACGTTTCGTATTATACGAATTATATCGCCACGTAGTCGTTAACATCAGCTTTCACAGATTTTGCTAAGAACTTTTAACCCGTCAACTTCTCTTTCGATTCGTAAATCTGATTACGTAGATAGCTTTCTGAGCCTGTCCTTAAATTCTCTATGGATATTGGGTGTCTGATGGTATCGACATAGCCTATATTTTAATTTAACAGAATATTAAGATATATTTATACTTGAGAAGTGATGTATTTAAAATTGCAAATGTATCATAAATCTAGTGTAGTTTATGTACCATTTAATTATAAGTGAGATCACATTCTTACATTGCTTCACAATTAAAATTATACCACATTTGAGAATCACATATGATTTCACGTACCACATGTGAAGAATCCACACGTATGGTTGCGTTCTATGTCTTGTATATAAATAAATATAAAAATGAAATCAGTATTAAAACAAACAGCAATAAATAAACGAAAACGGATAATAATTATCAGTAAGCATATTACAGTAGAACGAACGATATATCGCAAAGCTACTGTTCTTCGGCGATGACAGAGGCGTGAACAAAACCGTTCTCGCAAAATATTCAGGGTAATTGCATCGCTGGAAAATATACAGATAATACGCATCGTTTTTCCACGTTGAACGATCAAACACGTGTCTGTCCGTCTATACGTGTGCCTGTACGTGTTCTCTGTATTTTTAACTATCCTGTTCGTACCAAGCCTCTATCTATCTCGCTCCTGTTCGTGATCGCACGCGCATCTGCGAAGTGTTCTTTTTTCTTTCCACGGGACAAAGACACGAAACATTATCGTTGGTCGATATTCGTGGCAGCACTGGTCGTTAGATCCGCTTCGGCGTTGCTCCTCGGTGTGACACACGGAAACGCGTGTGCTCTCCTCTCGACCATTTCCGTGACGTGATTCTCGTGAACGTGTCGTGCTTCTTCGACTAAACTGGATATGTTCCAGGACCTTTTAACGAAACTCATTTGACTGGCGCATTCTCATACGGTGTTACAGGTATATTTTTCGATAGACAAGGATTATCGCTTTTTAACTTAAGGAAATTTTTGGGGATGTTATTTGGGGTAAATTCAATTTTCGAGGTACATATTGTTAGATTCAAAAATTTTCTGCACTTACAAATTTGCTAATTTTATATATTAAGTTAGATATTCTGTAAGTTCCACCTTTGCAAAATTCCACCCTTGCAAATTTGTAAATTCTGAAGTTTCAAGGTTTGAAATTTTCAAGCTCTAAATTTTCATCACTTACAAATTTCTAAATCTTCAAATTTCCGAACTCCAAATCTTCCATCCTACCGAATTTCCACATCTCCAAATTCACAACCCCTAAAACCTTAAATTCAGTAATCTATGTTTGCAAATTCCCAAACGTCCAAATTACCAAATCTTTGAAAATTCTCAGAGGACCAAAAAACTCCGGATTTGCGAATTCTCTAATTTCCACCCCTAAGAGGCGGCGCAGAATTGGCGTGTCGAAAGTCGTTAAGAAACCCGATCTTAGGTGCACTTTCGTTATATTTTCCTGCATCTGTATCGCGCGGTAACGACCACAGTCGTTGGATTTCTAGTTGATTTTTTTTGTCGTGGCGTCGCGGCGAAGAACCCTTGCGCGTTTTTTCGCGGGACATTGTTCGCGGCGCGCGTTTTGTCCGCACGTCAGCCATCACGGTGTATTGTATTCATTGTTTAGAGGCCGTTGGAGCTCTCTCGGCCGGGAAGACGAAGAGAAGGGCAACGCGCGGCTAAGCTCGTCGTAACGGAGGAAAGGAAAACTCGCCGGCTTCTAGACGGCACTGGGCTTTCTTCTTTTCTCCCCCTCTCTCTTGTTGGCTTGCACGAAATCGCGTGACGCTCCGACGGTACCCGCGTACAAATGTCGCCTCCTTCTTGATCGCGACGTTCCGTGATCGCAGCTGTTCCTCCTTTTTATGCGGTTCCTCGGGAAATTCGATTGCCGAGTGGCTCGGTGAAATCGAGAGGAAAACCACCGAAACAAGAAACTACGAGATACGGTGTCGAGAGACGGAGAGAGATCGAAAGGAAAGAGAGTACAAAGAAGCGAACGTGGAGGTACGCATGGATGTAGCGGACGAGCATACGGCCCACTCGGAGTAGGACAAAGGGCAAGTGCGAGACAGAGAAGAGAGCAAAGGACGGAGAAACTGGAAAGGATGCGTCCGATTCGCCTGTGATCGAACGTGGGTCTGCTTTTGGTGCGTAGGTGAAAGAGTTGTGTGTTGAGGAAATTGGAGGAAGAGGAAAAGCGACTCGCTTCCGGCGGACTAAGGTACTGTTTCATTATCAAATTAGTAGTTCTATCAGGAGAGTTGCCTGTATCGATCACTTTGTTCGCTGTTAATCACTGTAAACTATATCTGATTATACAGAAAGGAGTATCACTTCTGAGACTTTAACGTCATATCACATTTATATGTTCATAAAATCTGGTACATCATACTCAGTTTAATCAAGCAGTCTAACTCTAGTCGATTCTTAGGAGTTTTTACGTTTCTTTGCAATTGGAATTACACATTTGCTTTGAGAATCACATATGATTTCATGTGTCACATGTGATGAATCCACAAATGTATGTTTGAGTTCGTAAATGGATCACATGTTTATAAATGTATCACAAGATCATGTTTTTACATTGCTTTACAATTAGAAGTACACCACATTTGCTTTAAGAGTCACATATGATTTCATGTGTCACATGTGATGAATCCACATATGTATGGTTGAGTTCGTAAACGCATCACATGTTTGTAAATGTGTCACAAGATCATGTTTTTACATTGCTTTACAATTAGAATTACACATTTGCTTTAAGAGTCACATATGATTTCATGTGTCACATGTGATGAATCCACAAATGTATGTTTGAGTTCGTAAATGCATCACATGTTTAGAAATATATCACAACATCATAGATCACATGTGATGAATCCACATGTATGGTTGAGTTCTTAAATGCATCACATGTGTGCAAATGCATCATATCTTCATAGATCACATTTGCTTTGAGAATCACATATGATTTCATGTACCATATGTGATGATTCCATTAATGTATGTTTGAGTTCTTAAATGCATCACATGTTTACAAATGCATCATATCTTCATAGATCACATTTGCTTTGAGAATCACATATGATTTCATGTACCATGTGTGATGATTCCACTATTGTATGTTTGAGTTCTTAAATGCATCACATGTTTATAAATGTATCACAACTTCATAGATCACATGTGATGAATCCACATGTATGGTTGAATTCTTAAATGCATCACATGTGTACAAATGCATCATATCTTCATAGATCACATTTGCTTTGAGAATCACATATGATTTCATGTACCATGTGTGATGATTCCACTATTGTATGTTTGAGTTCTTAAATGCATCACATGTTTACAAATGCATCATATCTTCATAGATCACATTTGCTTTGAGAATCACATATGATTTCATGTACCATATGTGATGATTCCACTAATGTATGTTTGAGTTCTCAAATGCATCACACGTTTACAAATGCATCACAACTTCATAGATCACGTGTGAATCTTACCTTGACACGTTCACATGAAGTAGTAAAGAATAAGTAGCGATTTAGGCAACTCTCCCGAATGTCCTTGGCAATCGGTTAGATTAGGCGAGGTTTTATGTCACGCGAAACTAGAGCAATTGATGACAGGAGTTGCTTACCAGTATTCGTAACTTTGTGTTCGAGTTATAAATGCCTGTCCCCCATGTAAAATGTATCAGCACGGTGCAAATTAGCAAAGTTGCTTTCCGAGAGCGTGCCGCTACAGGGAATTCAAATTAGGAAAGCATTTACATCGTTTAAAGCGATTACTTCCGAACGTGAATGCAGATTTCGGTAATGACGCGTTTAACGGTTAATTATGACGAATTTCGTTATTCCGACGGTCTCGGAACTATTAATTGTTAGGTTAATCGTAGGGTGCGTGTCGCGTGACGAAATCATCGACCGACAACTTCATCTTTTCAGGGTACATTAATTTTGATCGAATGTGCTATTAGCCTCGAAGAAAAATCTTGTTACTTCAATTTGTAGAAGAATACTTATTATGTATTACAAGAACCCAGAACATGTTGTTTGAGATTATGTTCTTAATGCATAATCAGATTACAGCCTTTCGTTAGAACACATGGTATTGGTACCTGGACTTGTATCAAGCAACTTAAACTTTTTATGATTTTTCTAAAAGTTGTGGATTAAAACTTGTTCATAAAAGTGGAAGTATTGACACTCGCTGTCCTCGAGATGATTAACGAGTCTCGCAGCGAAGATAAGAAATTCGAAGGGAGAATCTAAATTTTATTCGCCCGTTGGAATTCTTGCGTAGAGAAACGTCGGTCGTAAAAGCTCGAGTTACAACGACGACTATCGTAGAGAGAATAGTTATACGGTTACGAGAGATTCAAAAGTTTTCCGTTTACCGTTAGTAATCCTGAGGACCGCCTCTGTTAGGGTCGTTCTCGGCGTCGAGTGACCGTAGGCTGTTTTAGTACGTGCCATTAGACCGTGCAATCCGTAGCCCGGGTATTCCAGACCGATAAAATCCCGAACGAAATAGCAGGTTATTTAACCGGTAAAATAATCGTTTTTAAACAAGCGTCTACTTCATCCCCGGCTTAAAACCTCCGCTACGTTTTAACCGTCTGTACAGTGGGGTGCCCGTCTAATTAAATAATCCGTACTATTATCCGTAATTCTTCGACTATAATAACCCGGTGTAAACTGTTTTGATGAATACGCCGAAACGTTAGACGTTTCGGTCCAAAAACGATTTAAATGACAATGACCCAGCCGAGTCAAGTCCTCCGTTCAACTGTACTCCGACCGCTACTCGTTCTCGCTATTATGCTAATGAGACGCATTGTAGGCAATCATGGCGGTCCTTCTTTCGCTCGCTGTACGTCTTGTCTACTGCTCTTGGGTTTTCAAATTTTTATACCTTTCAATTTGCTCATTCTTAAAGTTTCATATATCTCTATTTCCGTGGTTTACAAATTTTTTAGCTCAGATTCTGTGAACGCTACAAATTGTCAGAGCTTCAAGCCTCCTAACTTTCGATGTTTTTAACCCCTTGCGCTCGAGAGGTGCCTCTCAGGCACCATTCGATTTAATACAATAATTTGAAGTAAGCGTTATTTAATTAATTGTGTAATAATGCTCATATGATGTATAAACATAGTGAAATAGGTAATAGTGGAAATTATTAGTAGAGAAATAATAACCTTAAAAGATGATGATGATGATGATGATTAGTGTTATGGGCATCGACTGCCATGGTCATTAGCCCGACCTTAAAAGAACTCATTTAAAATTTTAAGTAATATTTTAAAATCACTGTTTGCAAACAGTAAAATTATCTTCGAGTGCAAAGGGCTAAATCTCGAAATCCCCCAATTTTTCGGATGTTGAGACCCTTGAATTATGAAATCTCGAAGTCTATATATCTCTGAATCTCCAAATGCCTAATTCCCGAAACCTCCAAGTTCGTACGTCCCCATATTTCCGAATTCTGAACTTCTCAAATCCTCAAACTCCGAAATTCTAATTCCCCCAAATCTTCAAACCCTCAATTTCTCATTCTCTCCGATCCTCAAACCCCTAAATTCTCAAAGCTTCGAATTCTCGAACCCCCAAATTCTCATTCGCTGAAATCCTCAAACCCCCAAATTTTCAAACCTCCAAATTCTCAAACCCCCAAATTCTCAAATCCCCAAATTCTGAAACCTCCAAATTCTCAAATTCCCAAATTTTGAAACCTCCAAATTCTCAAACCCCCAAATTCTCATTCTCTCAAATCCTCAACCCCCTAAATCCTCAAACCCCCAAATTCTCATTCCTCCAAATCCTCAAACCCCCAAATTCTCAAATCCCCAAATTCTGAAACCTCCAAATTCTCAAACCCCCAAATTCTCAAATTCCCAAATTCTGAAACCTCCAAATTTTTCAAACCCCCAAATTCTCATTCTCCCAAATCCTCAACCCCCTAAATCCTCAAACCCCCAAATTCTCATTCCTCCAAATCCTCAAACCCCCAAATTCTCAAATCCCCAAATTCTGAAACCTCCAAATTCTCAAATTCCCAAATTTTGAAACCTCCAAATTCTCAAACCCCCAAATTCTCAAATTCCCAAATTCTGAAACCTCCAAATTTTTCAAACCCCCAAATTCTCATTCTCCCAAATCCTCAACCCCCTAAATCCTCAAACCCCCAAATTCTCATTCCTCCAAATCCTCAAACCCCCATATTCTCATTCCTCCAAATCCTCAAACCCCCATATTCTCATTCCTCCAAATCCTCAAACCCCCATATTCTCATTCCTCCAAATCCTCAAACCCCCATATTCTCATTCCTCCAAATCCTCAAACCCCCATATTCTCATTCCTCCAAATCCTCAAACCCCCATATTCTCATTCCTCCAAATCCTCAAACCCCCATATTCTCATTCCTCCAAATCCTCAAACCCCCATATTCTCATTCCTCCAAATCCTCAAACCCCCATATTCTCATTCCTCCAAATCCTCAAACCCCCATATTCTCATTCCTCCAAATCCTCAGACCCCCATATTCTCATTCCTCCAAATCCTCAAACCCCCAAATTCTCACTTCCCCCAATTCTCAAACCTACAAATTCTCAATCTGTCAAATCCTGAAACCTCCAAATTCTCAAACCCTCAAATTCTTAATCCCCAAATCCTCCACCCCCAAATTTCCCAAACTTTCCATATCTCCCACAAATGTATCCACCCTAAGTGTGTATCCCTCCACGTTAACCGTCGATTTACCAAATAAATAATTGAATTTAACTTGATCGCCGTGACAGAACGAGTGTTCGTCCATCGAACGTCGAATCCGTTCTTTTTTTCCCGAAAAAAAAATCGGGAAAAACGCGGGTGTAACGTGTTTCGCGGAATTCGTTTTGTTTGCAGCGATGCCATTCATTCTTTCTCTTTTTTTTCATATTTATTGCGTAATGCTTGAAATTTTTGTTACGGCTCGTAGTCACGTTGGTCGTTACACGGTAGCACCCGTTCGAAAATCCCCGATTATATCGACGTCGTTATTCACGACGACACGCGACAGTTGCGTTGTCGCTCGTTACGTCTCCGGCTGTCCCTGATTTTTAGAAATTTAGAATTTTCACGCTTTTCCTGTCTCTTGCTTTTTTTCTCTCCCTGCAGCTACGTTCATAAAGGACTTTTGTCTTTGCCCGGAGGGTGGATTAACAAAATGTTACTGTGA